GACAAATGGATGGAGGAGAAGGAGGCATGGAGGGGGGGGGGGGGGGGGGGGGGGAGGAGGGAGAGGAGGCAGAGGCAAGGGGTAGGGGAGAGAAGGAAGGGTGCAGAGGGGAGGGAGAGACAGGAAGGGGGGCAGGTGAGGAGAGGAGGGGGCAGATGTGTCAGGCGGAGAGGGAGGGAGACCGGGCTCACACAGGACTCCTGACCCTGTGACACTCCTGCTTAGGGACATAGAGACCCTCCCATCCCCAAGTACCCAGGAAACAGCAGAACCACCAAGGAAGATGTATTGTTTTAAAAGGCAAATCTACACAGTACAAGTGCTGTTAGCAGAGAAGAGAAAGCCGGCTCACTCCTGTCCCAGCGAAAGCTGCTTCAGGTAGAGAAGGCCGCGATCTCAGGGAGGCTGGGCTCCCCTACACTGTAGTCTGGAGGTGAGCCGGGGACACAGCCAGTCCTATGAACAGGCCTGTGCTCTGACACCACGCAGCACATGGACTGGCACCTGCTGATGGCCTGCGCTGCACTTGGGTCATGCCGCACCCAGCGGGGGTCCGGGGGCCTCCCCACTCATGACCGACTACTCACATGCACAGTCCATGCAGGGGGCAGCTGGCTGTGACCTTTGGAGGCTTTGGGACAGGAGGGGCACAACTCGGGAGAGGGGACCAGTTAGCAGAGTGTGAGGTGGGAACTGCTTAAGAGCAAGAAGGTGCGTGGGGCTCCGCGCGGCGTGTGCAGGGCCTCAAGCACACGCCGCTTCCCGTGGCCTCTGTTTAACGCGGGCCATGCACACGCCCACAGTAAGAGGCAGGCCCGTCACCAGTTTCAAACAGAAAGTGAGTCGGGTTTTGGCTATTTCTCAGGCACTTAGGGTTTGACTGCGGGGCCAAAGCCGGCAGGGACTGGGTTCCCAAAGCCTCCGAGGCCCCAGCTGCCCCATCGCTCTACGTCATCTAACTATGAACAGAAGGAGGCACAGACCAAGCAGTTGGTAATACAGCTTGGCACGCAGACACCGGACGAGAGAGACTGCAGCAAGGGTTTCACGTGATCGTGTGTAACGCTCGTCCACACCTTAGTCTTCGACTTGGGACTGCTTCCGTTCTGCCCCTCCTCAGAAGCATCGTCTCCCCGGGCAGAGCTGAGCCATCTTGTCTTCTCTCGCTGCTGCTTCTGAAAACTGTGCCTGAGAGGCGAGCAAGTGCCCGAGTCAGCGTCACTAGCGAAGGAGTAACCTGTGACACTCGCAGGAACCTCCACATCGCTGTACTTTTTAGATTTCTCTCTCAGAGCAGGGTAGCGATAGGGGTAGCCAGTTCTATAACCCTGCGGGACAGAGAGGGGGAAGTCGGTCAGGGTGTCGTGAGAAATCATCGGGAAACTACCCGGAGCCTCCACACACGCTCACCAGGCGCATCAGCAAGCGCATCACAGGGGAATCACCGGAACCTCTGCTCTCCGCTGAGCTCCCAGCAGACAGAGCACAGACACGCTCACCGCGGCAGGAACCAGCGTGCACACAGCAGCCCCACTCTGCCCCCCACCTGGTGGAGGGTCTCCGGCACCACAGTCCCCCAAGTTTTGGAAAGGCATAGGTGATGCACATGGAAAGCTCTGTAATGCGTACCCCCTCGCCACCCCACCCATCAGTCACCCCCCGTCACACCCTGCGCTGGCCTGGGGTGCTGTCCACTATCACGTGGTACTCCTGCTCCCAAGAGTTTCAGCCAAAGCCAGGAAGCATCAGAGGGGGGAGAGGAGAACCACGGAGCCTCCAGCACCCGTGCACACACGAGGACTCTCTCAAGTGACACTCTCATGGTCAAGTAACCCCCAGATTTGTGTTTTTAAAACAAAAGCTTTATAACTGAGTCAGGGTGACATTCTTACCAGATTATCAAGCATCCGCATGAGGGCCTCAAACTCTTGCTCCCCAATCTGCCACTTGGGAGGTGCTCCAGTGCCCCCCTCCCCTCCTGGCGACTCTGGGGAGCGGGTCTTGGCTTTGTACTTCCCGGGGTCCAGCAGGACAAGGTTGTCTGGGCCTCCTGAGCTGGCCAGTGTGCGAACCTTTCCCAAAACAAGAAACACACTGGGTGAGCACCTCACGCACCCAAGCGAACCAGGAGGAGGCCACGGTCAAAGGCTCGTCTTCGACATGAACATGACCCAGGAGAATGTGGGAAGCAGAGCACTTCCAGGAAGTGAACCCGAGGCCTCACACCCACAGAAGGCAGGCTGTGTGGGTGCCGCATGGCCCTCGCCAGCAGTGAGGCGGTCAGTTAACAAAGAAGTACCATGCGGCTGACAAGATGGCCTGGGGGTGGCGTGCCTGGAGTCTGGCACATGCCAGCAAGTCCGTACACCAGAGGAGGTGATGCACTGAAAAAAGAAAACTAGCTTTGCAAAGTCCAGTCCCCTGTGCCCACTGACGTGAGTCAAACCACATCTGTCCTGACCCACTCAAAATTCCCCAAGCTCCTCTTTGGCAGATTCCTGCCAGTCTCCTTTCTCCAAGGACCGCAGAAGAAACCCACGTGACACTTAGAGCCCTCCAGGCGGACGCAGACTGATGCTCGGTCCACCCACCTGGATCTCGCAGGCCACCACGAGGTTGTGGATGTAGAAGAAAGCTTCCTCCACAGTCTCCCCGACTGAGACCAGGCCATGATTGCGCAGAATGAGGACCTGCGGGGACAGCATGGGCACCACCCGGCCAGTCAGGGCCACAGGCCACAGGCCGACCTGGGCTGCTCTCCTCTGAACCGCAACACCAGGCTAGGTGCCTACTGACCTTGCTTTTGGGTCCCAAGTTTTTCTGAATGAGAACCTTTTCCTCCTCGTCGATGAGGATGCCGTGATAGTCATGGTACGCCACTTCTCCAAGGGACAAGGCCTCCGGGGAGATGGGCAGGAGGCCACACTTCATCGCGGAGACCTGCAGAAGTGGCACCATTAACGTGGGCAGATGTGCAGGTGGAAGGGGTCACACATCAGCTCACAATAAACGTCACTGCGTCGTTTACCACGGGTGTACTCAACTCGACGGCACCTAATAACAACAACAAACTGGCACAGTCTCCATAGAAACGGTACCGTTTTGCATTCTTGGAAATGATAAATGCTAACAACTCTAACGATTCTAAATGCAGCTTAATGAAGAGCAGAGCTCACGTGGGCCCTATGCTGCAAGTCTAGGTGTGCTATTCACCTCAGGGAGGTGGGATCCAAACAGCAGACAGGAAGTAGAAGCCAGATGAATGCACGACAGGATTTACGTAAATCATGATGACTCTCAGGAGAGAAAGTGTCACCTGGCACAGCCCACTGCTGCAGCCACTGTCAATCCATCTCCTTGGGAGTCTTCTCTTCCACCGACCCTCCACCTCTGCGAGCATCATGGCCCTCTCCAAGGACCCCAGGCCCTCCCAGCAACATGCCCAAAGTTTGCAAGGCAAAGCCTCGTCATTCTTGTCTCTAATGAGCACTCTGGCTGCACTTTCTCCAAGACACATCTGTTTGTTCTTTTGTCCATCCACGGGACGTTCAGTGCTTCTCCAACACCACAGCTCAAAGCCATCGACTCTTCTGTCATCCTTATTCACTGTCCAGCTCTTGTATGTGTAGCAAGTGATCAGAAAGACCACGTCCTGAATCAGACGCACCTTAGTCCTCAAACTGACATCATGACTCCTCAAGAATTTGGAGAGATCCCGGACTACAGACTTTCCCAGTGAACTGTTGTTGTTATGTGCCAGTGAGTCACCTGCTATTCAGTGACCCTATGTACCAACAGCTCTGAAGCCTGCCCTGTTCTGAGCCAGTCTCACCAACTCCACACACCTACCCCCACTGCCCCAGGCACATCTCATCCAGGGTCTTCCTCTCCAGCATTGTCCCTCCACCCTTCCAAGCATGAGGTCTGTCTCCAAGGAGCAGTCTCTCCTGACCACATGTGCAAAGTATGTGAGAAGGAGCTTAAAAATTCTATCCTCCAAGGAGAAACTTGGTTTCACCCTCTAGAAGGCAAACCTATTTGTTTTCTTGGTGGTCCATGGTATGTTCAAGACTCTTCTCTAGCACCACAACTCAAAGGCATTGCTTCTTCTATCAACCTTAGTCACTGTCGAGCTCTCTGGTGCACAGCAGTAATTGTGAAGACTATGGCCTAGATCAGGAACACCTTAGTCTCTAGACTGACATCATTGCTTCTCTGTACCCTGGAGAGGTCCCTGACCACAGATTTTCCCAGTGCAATTCGTCCTTTGATATCCTGACTGCTGGTGCCAAGAGTGTTGACTGTGGAGCCGAGTAAGCTGTAATTGTTTTGTTTTTATTATTATTATTAAATTTTATTCGTTTTAATGAACATTTACAGAGATTTTGGGTTCTCATTCATTCATTGTTGCACTGTTTTCTCCACCCTCCTCCCCAAGTTCGTTCTTCTTTCCCCCTTCCCCCCCAATGTCTGTTTTAATTGTCCAATTGCCACAGTGCTTGTCAAAGCAGGTTCTGATTAATCTCCTTTGTCAGTGTGTCCCTTGCCATTCCCTATCATTCCTCCCTGAGAGAGACTTCACCCTGATTCATAAGGAAAAAGGGGATGGCGTATTCTCTTAGCTATTTCCTGCTGAAAAGGGACGCTGTGGGTTTCAGGGTGAAGGTCTTCTCTCACTACTCTAAAGGGGCCCCTTGGCAGTAGGAAGCACATAGACTATTATGGAGATTGATTTTGGAATTTAGATGCACTGTTATCAATTGTGCTTAGCCGTACATGTTCATATCCTTGAAGATGTATCATGGGGGTGTTGCAGCCTAGAAGATGCAAATTTAACTAACAAGTTAAAAGTTCATGAGTCAAAAATTGAAAAGCAATAATATTCTGAGTAGAGGTTCTAATAGTGGCACAAATCAAGTTACAGAGGTAAGGTGGTTCCATTGCCATCCTTACTCTAACTTAATTATTTTTTTTTAAATTTAAATTTGTTATTAATTTCAGTGAAAATTTACAGAGGCTTTGGATTTCCATTCATTCATTGTTGTAGATTTGTCCCCTCCCAAGGCCTCCCCCACACCAGACATTACCCTCTTGGAAAAGTAAAAGAAAAGATTCTTTCATTATTTTACAAACCCTCCCCCGGGTCCACTCCACTATGTAGCCATCTCTCTAGACTCCTGTCATGACAGAAATACCTAATCACATATCTCTTTTAAACAGTTTTCTCCCTCCTCTGTTTCAGTGCAGTATACATTATTGAACCCATCTTACTCAGTCTCTCCCCAACCCCAAGGACAGTCCCATTCTACAACAGTGGCACCATTCAATATTTGTCCTTTTGTGACTGGGATATTTCACTCAGCACAATGTTCTCCAGAGTCAACCATTTTGAATAATATTGCATGAGTTCCTTGTTTTTTAATGCAGCATAGTATTCCATTGTGCGAATATACCACAGCTTCTCTAGCCATTCGTTTGTTGATGGGCACTTAGGTTGTTTCCAACTCCTTGCTATTGTGAACAAAGCTGCAATAAACATGGGTGTGCATATATCTGCTTGGGTGTCAGTTATGGTCTCTTCGGGGTATATTCCCAGTAGCGGTATTGCAGGGGCAAAGCTGTAATTGTAAACAACCTCAATCTCTTCTCCATCTATCATGATGCTGCCAACTGGCCCAGTGGTGAGAATCTTTGTCTTCTTGATGTTGAACTTCAATCCATATTGAAGACTCCAGTCCTCGCCATTCTGCAGCAAGCTCTTCAAGTACTCCTCGTTTCAGGAAGTAAGGCTGTGTCATCTGCATAACGCAGCTTGCTGATGAGACTTCCTCCAATCCCAGTGCAATATGTTTCCTGATTTCCTGACTGCTATTTCTAAGGATGTTGACTGTGGATCCAAGTGAGATGAAGTCAATGTCTTCTCCATCTATCATAACCTTGCCTACTGGACCAGTTGTAAGAATTTTTCTTGATGTTGAGATGCAATCCGTATTGAAAGCTGTATTCTTTGATCTTCTGCAGCAAGTGCTTTAAGTTCTCCTCACTTTCATCAAGCACGGTTGTGTCATCTACATATTACAGGTTATTGTTGAGTTTCCCTCCAATCCTGATGCTAAAAAAAATTTAAAAAATTTTTTTATTTTATTTTTTCTGTGTGTGTGTTCCGTCAAGTTGGATCAGACTGGTACAGTTGATGTTGATTCTTCCCAGAGTGTAGCTTCTTAAATGATCTGCTCAGACTGAAGAGGTATGGAGACAGAATCCAACACTGATGTACATCTTTCCTCATTTTAAGCCATGCAGTGTTCCCTTGCTCTGTTCGCACAGCAGCCTCCTGGTCGAGGCACAGGTTCCACATGAGGACAACAAAGTGCTCTGGGATCTCCACTCTTCTCAATGTCAGCCATAAGCTGTTATGATCCACACAGTCATATGCTTTTACACAGCCAACAGAGAATTGATAGATATTCTCCTGGTGTTCTTTTCTTTCAGCCAGGATCTATGTGACATCAGCAACGATACCCCTGGTGCCACGGGGCCTCTTCCAAATTTTGTTTGAGGCCAACATGGCGAGCAGACCAGCAGCCTCCTCATGAACACCTGGGCCCCGAGGCCAGTGCTGGTCATGTCCTTTACCAACAGGGGCCTCGCTACCATTGTGTCCTCATTAAACCTCTACATCAAGTGGGCCATCATGATCAATGAGGCCGCCCCCACAGCTACCCAGAGCACCTCTGAGATGATGGAGACATGCCAGACTCCAGCCACCCCCAGAGCCCACAGAGCCCCAGGCTGGAGTGGCTGAAGAACTGAGCACCTCCGAGGATGGGCCCTACCTCAGGGCCCCCAATAAAAGCCTGAAAAACGGTCCTGCCTCAAGTTCTGCAGTGCCTTCTCTATGTGCTGTTCTGGTGTCTCTGAACCACCTGAGCAGGGTCGCCTGCAGGTAGTATTAATGAGATCCGGTCCTGTTCCTGTTGGTTTTGTTGTTAGGTGCCATTGAGTTAAGCATGACTCAGCAGCCCTGTGAACAAAAGCTCTGAACCCTGTTCTATCCCGCACTACCCTCCCACTGCCTGACACTCAAGAGCCCATTGTGGCGGTCACCACATCAATCCGCCCGGTCAAGGGCCTTCCTCTCCTTCGCCGACCCTGCACCCTTACCTAAGACGATCAAGTCCCGGGCTATTTCATTCTGAAAGTCTAATGGGAGCAGTATTTGACCCTAGTCTAAGAGGCTCCAAAGACTGTCAAGGAATAATAGACAAATAATGCCTATGCAGGCAACAATTCCACAGAGAAAAGTTAATCGACAAAGACAAGATCTTAACTGCTTTTACAACGAATGACTGGAAACCCTAAGTCTCTGTAAACTTTCATTAAAATTAATTAAAAAAAAAGGTAAAAAAAAAAAAAGGTATTAAAAACCAACCAAGCAAACAAAAAAACATTTTATCCATACCGACGTAAATTTGTTTAGAAAGGAAATTTCATAGCCCTGTCATAAATGAAAAATTAAGCATGAATTGTCAAAAGAAGATGCCAAAGAAATAAATGTTCTATTGCTTGCCAAAAAAAAAAAATAAATCCTCTTACTGTGCAAAACGACTGGATGAAAATTTCAAAAACACACTCTATATACTTAAAACAAAATGGTATTTCCCAACGTGGCTCAGAATGCAGAGATGTGACTGTGGAAGGACATGTCTCTCAGAAGACAAGGCCACCGTTTGGAGAATGCTCCACTCGATCACATGCTGATGCAGACATCAAGGACCGTGTTCCACGCACAGAAAACTAGATATGCACAGCTGACATCAATGGGGGAGGGGCACACATCACGCGTGAGTGAGTCTATGGACTCATCACCAAGTGAGACTGGCACTAACAGGCAGCTTCTCTAGTGCTCTGCCTCCTTGGACTTTAAGTCTATGACTGGCACAGCCCTGCCCAGCTGTGTTCTGTTTCCCACCTGCGCGTCTCACTCTCCTAGCGTCACCAGCCTGGGTGCACGGGTTCCAGACGTGGCAGCTGGGCAAGTTTACTGCTGTGGGAATTCAACCTCAATCCTCAATCTTCCTTGCCAGCTCCTTCTCCACAACCTGGGTACCTCAAGAGCCCTTGCAGGGCCTAGAAGGTCCTCTAAGCCACCCCCACTTGGCCTCTTCTTGCTATTCTCCAAGGAGAGAAGAGCTTCCCATGGCCCTCAAGTACACTGACTTCCAAGCACTTACATCTAAGAGCCATTCACAGAGGACTTGCCGTTTTTCCCAAGCAGAAACTGTACAGATTTCACAGAAGGAAAAGAAAAAGGTATTCTCTTAAGCTTTCAGCCAGGAAATTAAAAGATGCATTGCAATGGGAAAGTCTGCTGTTAGGGACCTCTCCAAAGTTCTGAAGAGCAATGGTGTCTCTCTGGAGACTAAGGTGCGTCTGATACAGGCTATGGTCTTTGCAATCACTTGTTATGCGTCAGAGAGTTGGACAATGACTAGGGAGGATAGAAGGAGAATTGATGCCTTTGAGCTGTGGTGCTGGAAAAGAGTATTGAGGGTACCATGGACTGCTAGGAAAACAGACAGATTCATCCAGTAGAGGGTTAAATCTGGGCTGCTCCTTGGAGGCAAGGATTCTGAGGCTTCGTCTGACATACTTTGGACATGTTGTAAGGAGGGACAGGTCCTTGGAGAGGGACATCATGCTTGGTAGGGTGGAGGGACAGCGCAGGAGGGGAAGGCCCTCTATGAGGTGGATTGATTCAGTGACTGGGGTAATTGGGATGGGTGTATCAGAGACAGTGTGAATGGCACAGGACAGAGCAGAGTTTAGGGCTGTTGTACAGAGGGTCACTATGAGTCGCAAGCGACTTGATGGCACATAACCACAACAACATTCTCTTAAGCAGGTCAAATTCCTTGCCCTACTTTAAAGCAGGTGGCCCTTGAACCTTAGACTAAGGGTAAGGTAAGGGTGTGCCCGGCTTGAGGGCCTAGGGACTTGGAAGTCTCCCTCCACTCTGGAAGTCAGCTGGCTGGCTGGCATCGTATCAATGGCGGTTTCATCTGGATGGCAGTCAGGCAAGGGAAGTTTCCGGGGTTCTTCTTTGGTCATGTGTTACTATTCCTTGCTCCCCCTTTAAAGTGGGTGGCCCTTGAACCTTAGACTAAGGGTAAGGGTGGAGCCCAGCTCTAGCACATGGATTTAAAATCCTGTAGTGCCTTTGGGCCTGTGGCCCTCGGGCCAAATTGTCTCTTAGCTATACTGAACAACTTGGAGTTTCTGAGATGCTAAACACTATTCCATAGTGTGTCAAATACCATAATGGTTACCCATTATGTGCAATGGTTGGATGAGCTTCCAGATTGATTCCTGTTGGGAAGTAGGAGTGGCATCCACTTCCTAAAGAAGGTGCCTCTGGAAACTCTACAAACTCTCTTATAAATGTACAGAAAAGATGTTAACCATAGGAAAAAAGTTCAGGTTTGTTGTGCAAAGCTTATTCTGAGTCATATTCAACTTGACAACACTTAACCAGTGCTAAATGGAACTAGTTATATTTCAGTGGTGGTTTCATCTATCAACATAACTAGTTATATCTTGGAGGAACATTCTTCCACTTTGCACATCAATCTTTGTCAAATGTGCTATATGAGGTAACCTGGGTTTGCTATGATGCTGAACCTTGTGCCGTGGGGATATCAAATACCAGAATGGATTCCCAACATGGACAGTGTTTGGTGAAGTTCCCAGTTGTTGGGAAGGAGGAGTGGCATCCACTTCCTAAACCACACGCCTCTGGAAACTCTATGAACTTGGAGTAACAAAGATAGCCATGGAAAGGCATTAAGTCTTTTGTTCATAGAGTCACTCGACTCGACGGCAATCAACAACAACAACAACATGGTTTTTTAGATACTCAACACAGACTTTGTGGCTTGCTCCAACAGGGCAGCAGCTCAAAGGCCAAGCGAGAGGCCCTCAGCAAGCAGTGGGAAGCTTCCAGGGCCCCGGGGCCCACTCACCGCTGCGCCTGCTGGCGTGTGGATGTGGACAATGCACTTGACGTCCGGTCGGGCAGCGTAAATCGCAGAATGTAAGGTGAAGCCAGCCTGATTGACACCTAGGTTTGTACTTCCACGATCTACCACGTCGCCTTGTAGGTTGATTTTAACCTTAAAAGAAGATAACCAAAGTGTCAATGTCAAGAGGAATTCCAATTACGCCGACCCAAAAGTATTTTCATCATGCTTTGTTGAGAATAGAAACCACAAAGTGCACCTGCCCTGACCATTTCTACAGTGACAGTGAAGACACTCTCCGAGGCGGGCGACCATGAGCTCCTTCCTTTCCTGGGTGCTCCTCCTCCACTAACCCCCTGAAGGTTGCCACTTTCATCTCACAGAGATTCTACAACAGCATTAACGCTACAGTCAGACATTTTTACTGAGTAAGCTACACTACTGTTTGCCTTTAAGAAGACTCCAGGGGATATTTTTGGTCTAGGTGTTAAAAACTCTCTCAGGGCAAGTTTCAGGGGTTCATCTAGAACCCTCTGCCTCCAGAAAGTCTGGAGTCCACAGGGAGGTGCCACTCAATGATGTTATTTCCCTTCTTGATCAGGAATCGTCTACAGAATCCTTGATCTAAATTTCAGTAATGGTAGCTGGGTGCATGAAGGTCTAGTCTCAAGGCAAAGATGACAAGTACTCACACATCTCACAACATCCACTGTTCCTCACCCTCCTTCCTCTGCTTCTCCAGGTAAATACAGACTCTTGTTGACCTTTGATGGCTGCTTGAAAGCCCATGATCTGAACCCTGCCCTATCCTTACCATTTCCAATATACTTGAGCCCACTGTTATAGTCACCATGACAACCCTTCTTGTGTGGGTCTTCTTCTCTTACACTGATCCTCCAGCATTCCACACAAGATGTACTTCTCCAAGGTCTGGCCCTCCTAACAACATACCTAAAGTAGGGGAGACCGAGTTGTGCCATCCTTGCCTCAAGGAGCACCCTGGTCACACTTCCTCCAAGACAGGCTCTTTGTTCTGTTGGCAGGCCCTGGGACATCCAACACCACAACTCAAAGGCATCAATTCTTCTCTCATCCTTAGTCACTGTTCAACTTTCAGATGCACAGCAAGTGATGGGAGAGGCCAAAGCTTGGAACACTGCGCCTCAGTCCTTGAACTGACATGAGTACTCTTCAGGGCTTTGGAGAGGACTCTGAGACCAGATCTTCCCAGTGTGATGTTGTTGTTGTTAATTGCCTTCGAGGTGAACATGACTCATAGCAACTCTATGAACAAAAGGCATGAAGCCCCTCTACAACTGCTGACATTTATCAAAGTTCATGGAGTTTCCAGAGGCGTGTGATTTAGAAAGCGGATGCCACTCTTGCTTCCAAATCCCAGTGTGATATACCTTTCATTTCCTGACTGCTGACACCAAGGGGACTGACTGTGGATCCGAGTCAAATGAAATCATTGGCAATTTTGATCCTTTCTCCATCTAGTGTGATCTTGCCTGTTGACCCAGGGTGAGGATTTTTGTTTTCATTGGCTCTCTACTCACTGAAGTAGAGAGCCCCAAAAGCCCAGTGTCACAGAGTCAGTTCCAACCATAGCAACCCTCTGCCTTCTTCCTCCTGCAATACTCCTGGTGATTTGAAGCTCTGACCTCTCAACATGGAATGCACTGTATGACCAGAGCAACTTAGAGGTAGAACAGAAATACTACACGTTACTCATACTCAACATGAAAGCCTAGTTTTCTGGAATATCCCATGAAACTGTGACCCTAAACAACTAAATGAAGGAATCACACTATAAAGGCTTTGGCTGCACATGAGCAACCTAAACAACTCTTGTACTTTTTATTGCTGTAAGCACATCTGTGACACGTGTCGCGAGTTCCGCATTTTACAGGTATACAACTGACAGACATATCATCAGCTGTGCAACCCTTACATACTTTTCCTTCACTGTTAACACTCTTCTTTCCCTCAACCTCTTCTTGTCTTTAAATGCATGTGAGGTCATGTAACATTTCTCCTAATACCTAAGCATAGTATTTCCAAACTTCGTCAAAACTGTAGTGTAGCTCCAAACACTCTCCCACAGCCTGCACAGTACTGCGCGCTGAACACGTACTACGGATCCTATCGCTTCATCTGTGAGGGGCGCAGAGCGTGCTCTAACCTTGTGACACTGGGGCGCGTGCTGCTCTGTCCATCTGTGGGGGGCATGGAGGCTGTTCTGACCTTGTGACACTGGGGTGCGTGCTGCTCTGTTCATCTTTGGGGGCGCAGAGCATGTTCTGACCTTGAGGCACTGGGGCGCGTGCTGCAGGGAGGGACCCCGCCACTCCCGTTCCTCTGTGCCCACGTTAGGAGTATGTGCCTAATACTGGGACTGTGGAGTCATATGGTAGCTAGATTTTCGGGTTTGTGATAAACTGCTACTCCATTTTCCACAACGGCTGCACCACCCTACACTGTGACCAGCAACAGGTAAAGGTTCTGCTTTCCTCACATCCTTGCCAAAATTTTTAATTTTCTGTTTTTTCCTTTTTTAATTGGAGTCCTGTGCTGCTAACCAAAAAAAAGGCTGTCTGCAGCAGTTCACACGCACTAGCAGATCCATGAGAGAAAGGTTTCCAGCTTGGGAAACGCAGTGAGAGCTGCTCGACCGTGGAATCAGCTCGAGGGCAGCGGTTCAGGGGTGTTTAACGAGCATGCCTGCTCAAAGGGAAACATTCCTGAAGCACCTACTGGAGAAGATGAGACTATAGTCTCCATTATGGACTAAACCTCAAGCAAAGAAAGCAAAATCTGGATCAAATGACAACATCACGATAAATGGAACAGAGTGAAGTTGTCGATGGCTGGATCCAAAACCAACACCCATGGACGCAGCAGCCAAGAAATCAAAAGGTGGATTTCCCAGGACCATCTGCTCCCAAGGACTTCTTGTAAAGGCTAAAAAGCAAAGGTGTCTGTTAGAAGACCAAGCTGTGACTCGCCCAAGCCTCAGCACTTTCAACTGCTTCACATTCATGGGAAAGTTGGGCAGCTAATAAGCAAGACCTAGGAAGAACTGATTTCTTTTTATTGTGTTACTGGCAAAGAATTAACCGAATAGACCCGACTACCAAAAGAACAAAAGAAATGTGTTCACAGAAGTGCAGCCAGAGTGCTCCCTAGAGGTTAGGCTGGGGGGACTTCATCTCACCTGCTTGGGGTGTGCTTATCAGGAGAGATCAACCCCTGAATAAAGGCAACTTTCTTGCAAAAGTCAGCAAAGGAGATGGAGACTATCAATGAGGCGGCTGGGCGGGCACAACGGGTGCAACAATGGACTTAACTCCACAGAGGCTGTGAGGATGGCACAGGACTGGACAGTGTTTTCTCTGTGGTCCACAGGGCTGCTCTTAGCCAACACAGGCTTAAGTACAGCAAGGGAAACTGCTGGTTACATGGTAAGGAACATCAAGGCAGACAGTTCAAATCCACCAGCTGCTCTGTGGGAGGAGGATGGGCAGTCTCCTCCCATGCGATTTGCTGCCTCTGAAAACCCTCTCGAGGGCCAGCTGTGGGTTGGTTCCTACTCCACGGTACACAACACCACCACAGCTAACAAGCAGGAGTGAAAGAGCATCTTTGTGGCTGTGATCTGATTTATATAACTAACAAATAGTTAAATTAATTCCAAGTGCTCATATCTGTTTTCAAAGTTGTTTCTAAGTGAATTAATTACAATAACTATGGTATTTGCAACTTTTTGTGTTTTATACGTTGGCTAAGTTTGAAGACATTTACAGTTTAAATATGATCTGCACCTGTAAGATGCCCAAGAAGAAAATTCCAGGCTTACCAAGCTGGAGGCGGTCACTTCACTGTAGAGAAGTCCAAAAGGTACAATCAGGAAGTGCTCCTGCTCCGAGCTCACTCTGGTCTGTGGGGAGAATTGCTGAGTTAAGTCAAGAATCCAAGACAGGTTTTATCACTTTTCAGTCCACACTCCCACTACTGGAGCTCGCTGCTGTGAGGCGCTATAACCTCAGCTCCAACTCAAGGGAGAGCAGAAGGGAGCCCCCCTGGTGCTGAACTGCTGAGGGGCTGCAGTGCAGTGCCCATCACAGAATAAACAGGTACCAGAAGCTACCTCCTGAGGGAAGCCACGGCTAGTGACGGACTGGATGGTGAGAGCACAATGCTCCAGTGGCACTCGGACACACCTGGGGCCCTGGAACCAATGCTCTCTCACAGGGGCCTCTAGAACTGAGCAGACCCGCCCCAGGTCCCCAAGCAAGCGGGTGTGAACCGCTGGCCTCTCAGCTTAGTGGAAGCTCACTTAATGTGCCAGCTGGGAAATCTGGGAAGCATCGCTAGGTTGCTCCACAACACCTCCTATTGGCTACCAATCAACATGCAACCCCAAAGGGGTCCCTCCTCAGGTGTGTGATGAGGAAAATCAACACAACATTCGTAAATCAAATCAGGTTTAGAATACAGTCTATAGGGTGACAATCAGAAAACCTACACAAGCTTGTCCCGCCTTGATAGCATCCCCAACTAAGCTCTTTACCCAGTAAAGTCCTCTTCCCCAGGTATCCACTCACCCACAGACCTGGCCAACGCTGGGGATCAAGCCTTCTGCTAGATACCAATGACACTGACGAGAACTGTGCCCTCGACATGTACAGCCCAACTTTTCTAAGACTTTGGTCATTTTCAGTAGGATCAGATACATGGAACAAGTCTGTAGAATAAAACCTTCTGGGGCGTGTTCACACTTGCTAAACAGCAGGGCACTGTTCTTGGCTACAGCCTGAAATAAGCACCTGCAGTGTCCACTGGAGAGATCCCAGGGAAGGGGCATGCACATGTCCCCATCAGTGTCCGCTGAGTGGTCCCAGGGAAGGGGCACAAATACATCCCATCAGCATCCACTGAAGTGGTCCCAGGGAGGGGGCGTGTGCATATCCCCATCAATGTCCACTGAGTGGTCCCGGGGAAGAGGTGCACACATGTCCCCATCAATGTCCACTGAGTGGTCCCGGGGAAGAGGCACACACACGTCCCCATCAGTGTCCAGTGAAGTGGTCCCAGGGAAGGGGCATGCACACGTCCTCTTCAGTGTCCACTGGAATTGTCCTAGGGAAGGGGCGTGCACACACGCCCCACCAGCAGTGCTCGGCCAGGCCTTCTGGGAGAGAAGGCATAAACTGCCGCCTCGGCCTCACTCCCCAACAGTGGCGCTGAGCAGCTCCCTAGGGCAGCAGTGAATAACCACATTCTGAAGAAAGCTAAAGGTGATACAGAGCCCTCAACCCAGCACAATCCATCTGTCTGGGGTTTCCACTGCTGCTCACGGCATTCAATACGAACAAGTCCTAGCCACCTGTACAGTTCACTTCCCTAACACGACTGAAGTGACCCCACCTGCTCTGTCTTTAACCCAGGCTTGTTCTGATCCTGTTCTCTAAGCTTTCTTAGGGGTTTCAAAACTTAGTTGGCCTCCTCCCAAAACCACATCCAGCAATGCCAACCAAGTTAACCAGGTGGCTTCACATCTCTAGACTCAATTCTCTCATTTCCAAAAGCAAGCTGGCCTTTTATACTATTGAAAACAACACTCAGTAACAGTCTTAATTTCCAGGTCGAGTTAAAACCAAAGAGAAACCAGCTCCATGTACTCTGATGGGATACCGGGTATTTAATGGTTGGGGGGAAAAAATTAATTGGGAATAGGGAAAAATGAAATGTCAGGTAATTTTTTGCTCACTGAAAACTATTTTAAAATTATATGTGCAAGTGATATCAAGCTATTTCCTCAAGGACACCCCCCTCATCAATTTTACACCCTAGCCTGCATGCATCAACTTCTGGAACTCTACATTCCGGTCCATGCATGGTTTGACCCATCTTTTAAAAACGTAAAGCTGATGCCTATCACGTGGTATTCCACTGCTGTTTTCATTTACAACTGCCTGATTTTGGATGAGTTGACTATTTTCTCCTATTTTTAAAGCTATTTTTACTTCCTCTACTCTGCAATTCCTGTCTTGTGGTGGCTTTCTGTATCTGTCCCAACGGTGATCCTGTGTTGCGTACACGTGGGGTCAAACCTCCCAGGTGTGGCTTGACTGTCAATCAGTCTCTGGTGTTTTTAATTGACAATAATGTGTCCACTTTAACTTTATAATTTTATCCACCTTTTTTCTTTTAGGGTTGGTGCCTTGTGCCTTAAGGAATCTTTAACTCCCATTGATTCTAAGACTGTGAAAGCATTTCCTCTCTCGCCAACCCCGTACTTCACAGGCACTGCACTGCACGTGCACAACAGCCCAGCACCCAATCTGGCTTCATCCAGCTTCCCTCCGCAGAAGGAACCTCCACACTCGGAGATCCAGCCCAGGACACCTGGGTGCACCCATCTACGTCTCAAATTCTCCGTCCACGCCCACCACCCTCAGCACACTGTACAGATGAACAGGGTAGCGGGGAGGAACAGCCTCCTAGCCAACTTCTTCCGAGCTATCTAGCCTGTTCTCTGCCTTCTGCTCTTCCACGTAAATGTCAGAACCAGTACACCAGAAAATATAAGAGTCAACTTTAATCATCTGTGTCTTGAGGGGGTTTTGGCATTATGAGTCGCTATTTAATGAGGTTATAAAGGGCATATGTTACTTGTGGTTTTTTTCTACTAATTAACATTTTTTAAAAATTATTTTTTGTGCATTGTACCATCAAATCAGATCTGACTGGTACAAGAGGAGACTGTCCCTCCTTCTCCAGCAGAGCATCTGGTGGATTCGAACCAGGCACATCTGGGATTGCAGTGCAGCTTCTTGCCACTAGGCCACCAGACTCCCCCTAATTAACATTTTTATGTCTTCAAACAGTGTTTGATTCTTTCTAACAGCATGTAGCATCACCTCACCGACATCTAATAACATGTAAAACTTCACCTCACAGACAATGAATGAAGGTACTTTACCACCTCTGCTGAATATTTAGTCTAAAAGTTCTCTCATTATTATAAAGGATGTACCCAGTAACATATATGCACATATGAAATTTCTTCCACTTACTTCCTTAGAGTCTGTCTCCATAAGTGAGTCTCACAGCTCCACCTATTTTATCGGAACAGCTTAAAGCCTAAGACTCTGAGTGATGCCAAATGGAGAAAGTGCAAACTACAGACTGAAAGTGAGAAGAGAGGGAGGCCTGAGAGTAAGGCTCTTGAGCTGCGCTTCCTTGAAGGGGCCCAGCCCAGGCCCAGCCCCTGCCTCCTGCGCTCTAGAGAAGAGCTCTCACGGGGTCTCCAGCAGAGGCAGCTCTGGCCCAGAAGCACAAGGCACCGCCCAGGAAAGATGTCCCTGGACAATCACCACAAGAGGGCCAAGGCCCTTTGAGTCTAGGATGGAATACTGCACTGGACACCCACTAATTCTGTAGCTCTTAGCCTTGAAAGCACTCCACAGACCCAGACAGTCACTAAGGTGAGGGGAGGCCCAGCCTCCTGCCAAATGACACCAAGAGAGGAGGCTGTCCCTCTGTGTGGGCCACCCTGCTTTACTCTCAAACAAAAGCTCCTTTAAATCCTTTGCCATCTTAAGACAGTGATCCGCTACAAGCATAGCTAATCCTAGCACCTGCTAGAACCTTTAAATCCCACAGTGGAAAATCTCTCCGACCCTATTTCAGAGAAGGTCAGAATGGCCTGTCACCCTGATGCACACTGATGATATTTGCTTTTTCTGCTAAATGTCCATAGAATAGCATCCAATTACAAACCAATAATGCATGCCAGAAATGAACAAAAACAATCAAAATGCTTGAGTATTATTCCTAGTTCACTCTTAAGACAGAATAGTTGTGTAACGTGGGTATTTGTTGTTTTGTAGTAAGCACCACGCAATCACTCACAGAGAACATCTGCCCAGCCTCAAGCAAAGAAAGCACGCCATTGTAGCGATACAAACTTTTAACACTTTCCCAAGGAGTTTTATTATGAGTTGAGAGGAATCAGGATCCCAGGAGGTAACATAAGCCTGTTAAGGTTTTCCCAGAAAATGCATCTTCTGCCTTGTGGCTACCAAGTAAAATCTTTTCTCCATTTATCAAGAGGTTTTGTTTTCTTGATGTTGAGATGTGATTCATACTAAAAGCTGCAGTCTTTGATCTTCTTGAGTTAGAACTTCAAGTCTTCTTCACTTACAGAAAGCAAGGTTGTGTCAACTGTATGCTGTAGGTTGTCAAAGAGTCCTTCTCTGGTCCTGATACTGTATTAGTTGGTCTACAGATAGTCCAGTTTCTCAGATTGTTTGTTCAGTATACAGACCGAACAGATGTGGAGAAAGGACAACCCTGACACACACCTTTCCTGTATTTATAAGGTTTCTTGCTTTGTTCGAATGACCGTGTCATGGTTTATATACAGAGCAATACAAGCGTGCCTAGGTAGCATACATGATAGAACCACAGAAGAACAGAACTTAAAAATGGCCCAAAATGAGGCTTCTCTGAAAACCACAAGCCACATTTCTTGCTGCAGCTTCTTTCAGAATAAACACTTTTAATGCAGGTGCTAAAATGGGAGGGAGATTTGTCTTCCTGTGCCTTGATTTTCCTCAGAATCCCAGTTCCTTGCCCTCGAGCACGTAACCATCTGCGCAGCCACGGTGGCCTGACCTGGAAGTGATACATCACGAAGCCTGCCCTGTTGGAACTGCTCCTCTAGAAGACTGCTGATTTTTGCATTCTTTTTGCTTTCGTCATATTTTTTCTGAATTTTCTTAGATCGCTTTTTGTTTAAAATCTCTTCCTCCTCAGGAGTCAGCTTAACCCCCTTCTTGCGACCCAGGGGTAGCGCATAGTGGGACTCGTACTACTGGCAGTACAGCGTGCTGTCAATGAGCACGTTGCACGTCTTCACTAGGGTCTTGGTCCGGACCAGCTCCCTGTGGGAGGCCTGGCAGACAACGTCAATCATCCTTGTTTTGTGAGTACAACATTCAGAGTCCCAGAGAAGTTCCCCACATGCAGTCTTAGGGCACGGTAATTCTTGTTGTCTCCTCTCACATGAACTGTGTGTATATGGTGGGGCCAATCTTAGTGTTGGCAGCCAGGCGTCCCAGTTCCTACTTCCACTTCTTGTGTAGGACTTTCTCTTGCCCCCGGTCTTTTGGCCCTTGGGCCAGTTGTCCCGGGAGATGCCCATCACACCACTTTCCTGGAAAGAGAGAAAGCTGCCACGCTTTCACGGAAAGGGTCTCAAGGCAACCGTCATGCACTCCACATACACCACTCAGCCTGCAACAGATGAATGCTGACCACCGATGGCAGCGACAGATCGAGTGGCACGGGACGAGAGCTGGCACCTGCGCTGTGCTAACTAGCTGCATTCATGAGGGGTGTCGGAGGCACAAAGTCTTTTTGTTTGACAATTTCACTGAGGTCTGTGAACACCAACTAGCTCAAGTGGAGACTTCCTGTGATCATTCACTGACTGTGCACATGCTACGTGCCAGAACCTGGGTCATCCGCGTGTCCTAATGGTCAGCGCCAGCATGAGAAGACAGTGGCACTGACTGGCCTCCTCACACACGTGCTGAGCACCTGCAGGCGCTGAGTCCACAGCCGGAAAGTCCTCATGACGATACGGCTGGGTGTGCGCATGTGTGTGTGCGTGCGCCCGTCTGTGCATGCATGCAGCGATATGAATCTGTGTGAGCAGTATGCCTGTTTGTGTGAGCATGTGCATGTGTGAACAAGTGACATGACCTAAGCAGTGGCAGCACTGGCTGCCTTGGGGGAGACAGGGTTACAATGCTGGCTTTCTAAATCCACAGAGGCATCATTTGTTAAAACAAGCATGTCACGATCAAGGACTTAACTTACCTAGTAAAGGAAATCAGATCCAAGGCAGGAGATTAGAACAAGTTTAATATCAAAGGAAGGACACAGGAATTTGGTGAAAAGACCCAACTCTACCAAACAAAGAAGAGACTTACTGATGTAACAAGGAGCCTGCGAAGCAGGAGAAGTTGGGAACCCAAGCCCAGAGGGCCCAGAGTGGACACAGGTAGGACAGAGGACACTGCAAAAGGAAGTCAGAGCCGAGAAAGCCACCAAAGGTAGCCAGTGTCTCTGTCCTCTGATGAGGACAGCTTCTGGCCTCAAGAGAGGGCAGTCAGGAGCCTGACGCAGAGCACAGGCAGGCTGGACAAACTAGACAGAAAACTCGTGCTTTCCAGGGTTCAGGCAATGCTGGGAATCGCTGGAGACACCCACGGCTCTGTGGAGACGCCCTCTCTGGTGACCCCTGGCTGTTCAGGTGCAGAAAGGGAGGCGAGGGATTAGGAAGAGCAGTCTTCAACTGCCAAATGAGGAAATCCAAACGAGGAAGAAGACAATGGGGGACAGGCAGAGCGAGGCCCCAGGGCAGGACTGGTACTGTTCCTGTTTGCACCCAGAGCTGAGAACCACGCTGGCCGCTGAGAAAGCAAATGCCCAGGAAACACTGTTAAAAAGGAACTTTAAAAAGAGAGGTTCTGGGAATATCAGGAAAACAGAAAAACCAAGTGTGAGAGAGTAGGCTTGGTAAGAGCAGGGAAGGGCTTTGAGAACTGCCCACACAAGCTCGTGCTCAGCCTACGGTGCTCCAAGATGAGAAATCAGGACAGAAGATGTCCCAGGATTCCCCACAGCTCGTCTGCACCCCTGCTCCCCAACAGGAAGGGGCAGTGCCAGCCACGCAGTGCCCCACTGCTCACTGGATGTCAGCCACGCAGTGCCCCATTGCTCACTGGGACTCCCAGCACTAATGCTCACCGTGATGTGATTGTAGATGAGCTGGGACCAGCCAAAGAGGTCTGCTAATCTGTAAAAGGCCGCCAGCTTGCAGCGTAGCAACTTCTCCCCTTTGTCGTACGCTATCGAGTCAGACCCTCGCAGGTCATTCACAGGTGTCACCATTCCGAGACCTGAAACAAAGAAAAGCAAAACTCAGGCCACTGCCCGCACATTTCCCATCAAACGTCAGTCCAGTAATGACGGTTCTGAGCCTGGGCACCCTCATTAAGCCAGGGCATGAATCCTGGAAAAGCAAAGTCTGTTTCAGAAAGGCCATGTCTTCTTCCACCAGTGTGGCTGAGTTAGGAATCAGTAACAAGACAGTAAAAACGAGGAACACAGGAAAACTCAAAGTCCCTCCAAACTCAGAGCCAAAGAAGGCCCAATGGCTGATGACAGCTCTCGCCAGTATTTGCAGCAGGACGCTGAACAGCATGGAGAAAGCAGACATCCCTATCTTATTCAAATCTGTTCTTTTAAACAGCTAATTTTGAGGAGATATTGGGGGGGGACCCTATCCACTAGACTTTTAGCAATACAGTTTTTCACTCATCCTAAATCCCCATTCCTGCGCGGACGTACGCAAAATTAGCTAGTTGCAGGTGTGTGCCATCAATTCGCTTGAGCCTCTTAGTGGCCCTATATATGTACAACAGCTCAGAACTCTGCTCTATCTTAAGCCAACCTTATTGTCTCTGACACACTTACCCTCATTACCCCAGTCACCATGCTAATCCATTTTATCCAGGCTCCCCTTCTCCTGAGCTGTCCCTCCACCTTTCCAAGCACAGTGTCCCTCCTCAAGGACTGATGCCTCCTTACAACATGCCGAGAGTATGTGAGAGGGAGCTTCAGAATCCCTGCCTCCAAGGAGCAGCCTGGTTTCACCCTCTCCAGGATGAACTTGTTTGCTCTCCTAGCAGGCCATGGTATATTCAGCTAGAGTATGTCAGATTAGCTAAAGCAACTAACAAAACAAAACTCAAGGATGTCCTCTACCCCAGAACTAGGTAAAAGGGAGGATCCAGCACCTGGAAATGGAAGCAGCGGGTGGAGAGAATGCACGTGGGGAGGAGGAGACAGTCTGAGACTCCAACAGAACCAATAACAACCCCTAGGAACTATACTCACAGGGGTTCCCTGTGGGGATAATGCTCCTGGGGGCGTTCCCTGTGGGAACTATCCCCACAGGAGTTTGGACACTTTGTTGTTCGGTGCCCTCAAGTCAGTTCCAAATCAGAGCAACTCTAGAGCACAGAGCAGAACTGCCACGCAGGGACACCTAGTGGTCACCTCTCAGGAGCACAGCTTAAAAGGTTCAAAACACGACCTTTTGGTCAGCAGCAGAGCACTTAATCAGCTCCATTACCAGGGCTAAATCCCTGCATATTCCTCAAACTAATGAGAGCAAATGTTTCCTCCAGGGCGAACGCCAAGCTGAGAACATGTGGGAATGAATCTAAGCAGGGTCACCGAGCACTGTGGAGGAGGAGGAGGGCCAGAGGGGAGCAGGTGCAGGGCGTGGGCAGAGGCAGAGCTCAGGAGTAAGATGCCAATTTGTCCACACGACAGTCACACAGCCTTTAGGGAAGATTAATTTTGTATAAAAATCAGCAGGAAAATACCATGATCAGACTCCCTATGAAAAAGACAGTAAGAAGAAAATGAGCAGAATAACAACATCACTGCAAATAACGGAAGTTCACCTAGACAAGAGGGATTCAACTGAGGTAAAGGACAAACTAATCCATTCTGGAAGGAGTGCAGCTGGGGTGCGCCTCTGAAGCAGGTAGGGGACACTATGTCTCACATCCTTTGGGCATATTCTCAGGAGGGGCCAGTTCCTGGAAATGAAACTATGTATGGAAACACAGAGCACCAGTGAGAAAGGTCCACAATGAGATGGGGTGGCACATAGGCTGGCATGAAGGCTGGCATGGTGAGCTGGCAGGTTTGGTTGTTATACTGGGGCCCTGCGAGTCCAAGCCAATCCCTTACACTCAACACCACCATCAAAGGCCACCGATGTCCATGAGAGGCCTCGTGAAAACAGGAAACCTTCACCAATGGCCCAACTCCAGGACAGAGGTTGACCAGTGAAGTAAATGTGACTCTTCACACTGTCACTAAGGGGGAGTCCAACGGTGAGGTCAGGCAGCTTGCAAGAGCACGCAACAAATCCATAGCAAATGCCAGGCCTAGTAACAGCTAATGGACACTGATTCCCTAACACAGTCACAGGTCAGCGAGAAGCTGACTATCCAGACAGAACCACAGAAATAGGTCTAGGCCAGATCAGTGGATGCTCAAGGCCCTGCGCCCTGCCCTGCCAGATAAGGCCCCCAGGCAGACTTCTCCTCTGCACATAACCGCTCATCACTCACATTCACTCTGCTGGCACCTGTGCTTCTTAGCATTTGGCATTCTCTAGAAATGTGTTTTCACTAGGTTACAGGCACCAGTGAGGAATGCTGGCTAAGAAACGTTAGTCTGCCTAAAGATAGTTCTGGAGATCTATATTTGTTCCTATCCGAAAGAAAGGTGACCCAATTGAGTGTGGAAACTACAGAACAATATCATTGATTTCACATGGAAGCAAGATTCTACTGAAGATTATCCAAAAACGACTGGAACAGTCCATCAGCAGAAAACTGCCAGAAGTCCAGGCTGGGTTTAGAAGGGGTTGTGGTACTAGGGATATTGTAGTTCATGTTAGATGGATCTTAGCTGAAAGCAGGGAATACCAGAGGAATGTCTATCTGTGTTTC